AAGACCACACAGGGCCATCCAGGGCCAATGGGAGGCAGTACAGAGGGCCAACTTACATGTATGAAGCTGTGAGGACACTTTGAAGTGCAGACAGGAAGCCCCCATATCCTCTCACAGCCCCAGAGATTGGACCACAGGGTCGCCAGTGTTATCATCAAAGGCCAGCTCTGTTTATTATTTACAACGACGCCATTGTTGGACCACACTGAGTCTTGGCCATATAAAGTCAGGCTGACTGGCTGTGTGTGTGTGGCAGAGAATCCAGCAGAGAACTCAGAAGATATGATTGGCAGACTTGCAACTTTTATGTGGTATTCCGATTATCACTATGCTTGTCAAACTAGGGATTCTGGTGTTAAGAGGGGCCAAGGCCAAATTTTTTCTCCTTCCATCATGCTTCAACTGAATATAAATGAAGTTGTCAGAAATTTAATGTCTCATTCTCAGTGTTTAACTTAAAAAGCACCAGGGCAAGACCTGCAATTTAATGTACATCATTGTCATTCCATGAGGTTGGGGCACAATTTGTGACGGTGTCCACTGTTACATGGGTACGGTAAAAATAAACAGCTATTTCCTTGCATGTGGAGTCCAAATTATACATCTTGCAAGGCTCAATATAGTCTTACAGAGGTGTGTGTTAGTTTCACAGAGTAAATGACCTACTCTACAGGTCATGACAGGTACATGTAATAACTGTTACCCATGTAACAAGGACAACCTCACAAATTGTGCCCCAACTTCATGGAATGACCCACATATGTACATGTACATGTCAAGGTAATGAATACAACATGTACTATTATTTACAAAATGTACCCTCCATTTAGTATAACTAATTGTATTTTAGTATGAATTGTCTCGTGGCATGTTCAACATTGCCAAAACATAAAACTGAAAACTTTGGTTGGGCTACTATCAGAGGATGGGTACATGCAATATCATTTACAAGTGATGGAGGAGACAAATTATTTTGTTTATTGATCACGCCATGAGTGTGCCAAATGTGGTTAATTGTGCCAACATAAATGCACAACAAGTACATGTAGAACACTTTTCTTCAAATAGAAACTTTGAATGCGAACACTGTGATTTCAAAATGTTTACTGTTTCATTTTGTCCTTTTAGCAACTCTGTTTGAATCAAAATTGCAAACACTTGCATTTGTAGAGTATTCCAAATTAAATATCCCTATTTATCAATCTCAATTTTGCTGAACCTTTAAAAGTTAAGATAATTGACATGATTTCTCAATTTTAATTTGAAACTTGTGCAAAGAAAAAAAAAACATTTTACATAAAACAAAAATCTCGCAAACATGAAGTTGGGTTCATGAGCTGTGTGACTGTGAACAAAACATGTAAAGTGGGGTAACTTTTTTTGGTATTTACTCAGTTTGGTTCTGAATGAGTCATGTTTAGGAACCCTCTGTCTAATTTTCTTAAAATGTACGGACATAAAATTTGTGATTTTCAAAGTGGCTATTGTTGCAGCGGCTATAATGCGTTATCCATAGTCTACTTCTGTGGCATGAAATTCACTACAACTCCTAAGAACTATAGGAAAGGTGTCCTACAGCTCTAGAGGTCTTTTCATGCTACAGCCTCTCAACCGAGGTTCAACTCAAGGGCTGCCTTGGGTTACAAATTTCATGTTTCAACCCCTTGTTTTACCAGGTGCGTGTGGTAAGTCTGGCGCCACATACATGTAGGTCCGACGCCTCAAAAGTTAGAATTTTCCAACTTATGAGGCGTCGGAATAATGAGGCGTCGGATTTATAGGCTTTTTTTTTCAGCCTCAATGTTCTGACGCCTCAAAGGTCCAATGCCTCATAAATCCGACTTCGGACCAACGAGGTGTCAGACTTAATATGAAGCGTCAGTGCGATTAACAGTGAAACATGGAGGAGTGCAGGAGTGCAACGTGTTACCCGCGAGCGAAATTCAACTTTGTTGCCAACTCGTGCCCATGGTACATGTACTGACCCTGTTAGGAAAACTAAATCAAGACTACATGTACATGTACCTGCACAGTTGGTACACTAGTCCAGTATTTTTTTTAATCCAAAATACCACTACATGTAAGAATGATGTATGATACTTCGCTAAATATAAAAAGCATTTTTTGACTAATTCTTTTGAAATCTTAAAAATGTTTGCATGTGTCATAAATAGTACACCATACTTGCACCAGGAACCAGTCTTGTTTCTAGTGCCGTTGTCATATGCTCGTAATGAGTGTCAAATCAAGTGTTGGAATTTCGAGGCATCAGATTTTTTGAGGCGTCATATCTACATGTATGCCATGGGCCGAAAAAAAACCATTGGACCTATGAGGCGTTGGACTTATGGACTTTTTAAAATGCATTTTTCAGACTTTTGAGGCATTGGAATTATGAGGCGTCAGACTTACGAGCTGATCCTGTTCAACCTGGCATTGATTTATACTTGTTTCATGCGAATTGAGTTTATTAGAGTGAGTTCAAGCCGCAAATGCGCATGAAAGATTTTCATTTTTCAACCAGGGTTAAAAAATCTCAACCCTGGTCTAGAGCAGGGTTCAGAGGTTTGTCTAGAGTGACAGTGCAGTGTAAGCCTAACGGGTATGCAACTAGTACATGTACATCTCCATTGTGCAATGTACACTGGAAAACACCAATACCCTGTAAGTGCAGCTTGGAAATTATCCCCACCACACAATCAAAGGAGATCCTGGAGGAAATTCTGTTGCAAAGGAAGCGAATCAGGACCCCACCTGGTACATCCTACTGGTAGCTGCATGGAAATGGACATGACAGAGTGGAAACCTGTCATTTCAAATGAAGCAATATACCGGTAGATTAATGGGTGTGGGACCAAGATGAGGAAATCAAGTCACAAAAACACACCTGATTACAGCACAGAAGTCAGTGCGTGGCCAGTCTACTGCATCTCTGTAGAAATGTGGAAGGGCTGCGTAGCACCGTGATCAGAATAATTGACAAAAGTATATAATTATACAATCAGTGCTTTGTGGTAAACATCGAAGAGACCAAGCGTTGCCTTGGTGACCGCTTCGCGGAACACTTGCGAACTTGCGAAGTGTGCACCAACAAACACCCGGTCTCACTGTTGCGCAGCACTTTTGCGCGCCGCCACATACCCTCGGTGACGTAAGCGCCTGCCTCCAGCGGAAGTGTCGTCTGATGTACAGTGTAAGGAACTGGAGCAGCGCGTCATTTTCAAACTTGGAACGCTGCATCCAGGGGAATGAATGTGGATTTTTCTGCGTTCATTCAGAACTGAATCTGCTTGCCCTGAAGAACGAAGGTACTCAGTTACCGAAAGCTCGGCAATAAGATAATTCATAGCACTGATTGTATAAATACCAGTATATTTTTGTCAATCTACTGCATCTTTGTAGCTGGCTACGAGAATGAGATTCTGTAACTGTGCCATGCACAAAAATTTATCTAGTTTTAATTATAATTGTAAATAGGCAGTGGATATTAGACCATGAGCCAGTGTCTGATGCACTTTCACTTTTGTACTGGGATGGCAACTAACTTGCACAGCGAGTTTCTTTCAGATCAATGAATCATGAAAAGAATGTGAAATATCCTTCAATTAAAATGAAAATTTGATTTAAAACATAAAGAATAAAATTGCAACTTTCAGGGGGTAGAAAACATCTGATAAAATGTGGAAGAATGCCTAAAACTTTGTATGAGGTCTTGCACAAGGCAACCACTACATGTAGGTTATATGCTCACATATGCCATGGGTAACTTTGAAAATCAAATGAAATTTTCATTTTCTTTCAGTAAAGAAAGTTAATAATATGATCTGGATTGAAAAAATACATGTATAGGTGTATGGGGAATCACTTCAATGCTGGCAGCAAAAAAAAGTCATAGCTCTAGTTATCATAGTCATAGTGCGGCTTTCAGCTACGAAGGACTTGTACTTTTGTACTTGACAGACTGACAGGAATGGTGTGGTATTGTGCAGTAAGCACTATCAATCTACAATTCCACATTGCTACATGTACATGTATTTCTTTCTGTGTGATGAAATAACAGCTGTACTGTAGTTTCATTGAGAAGCAGTTCAAAAATTTTAATCACATCTTGTCAGACTTGTAAAACCTAAGGGTGTAAACATTTCTGACAGCAGAAAAATTCCTTACCACCAACATTGTGGGATGATTATGGTGGAACTTTCCCCATGTACAGGTAAGGTACATGTACATGAATGTATCATGGAGACCCTAACTTTCCACATACAAATATTAGCGTATCCGTCGTGAAACTTTTCAATGAAATTATGCACTGACGTTAATTTACTGTCGATGATCGATCGTCACTTCAACATTTTTCTTTTTGTAACTATGAGTGAATTCAAAGCTTTTCCAGTGAGAATTTGGGAAAAATGTCAAGAGAGCGTAAAGCTTTACTTCACAGTAAAGTAAACCAGTTAAAAATGTTGAGAAAATGGATAAATGATCGCTGTTCGTTCACGATCGATGTTGGACGTCCGATATGGGCATTAATGACAACTTCAGTCCACTTTCGTCGAATACTGAGGCTGTCATAAAAAATATGGAGCCTGAAAAAGAACTGTGCACCTTATATTTTGAGATTTCCATTGGTGACGATGGGTGTGGATTCAGTGGCATTGTACTTTTTTTCAGAAATACACGTAGAAAGAGACGTTTTATCATAATATTAAGATAAATAACTCATGTTGATGCTAATTTATTATGATTTATTTTAAAGAATACAAATTCATGCCTCACTGTAACTTCAAATTAAATTGAAAAAAATTATAATCTAGGAGAACGAAAAAGAGAAAGTGATGGGAAGTCAAGCTGTTGCGAATGAAAGTGTCTTTTTCCACAAACTGTATCACTAAACGCAAAATCAATGCCAAAAATAATTCCTCATTCACAAGACATTAACAGGCAGATTTTTCAGAAGATGGGCATCAACGATGCCACGTAAAATGATGTTTGTAACGTACGTGCACAAATTTTGGTGACTTAAGTTTTACTACAGTCCACCCAACTCATTTGTGGATGGCATTGTTCCTGCTGCTTCCGTGACATCTGATGCTCTTCATATTATTCCATGTAAGACTTTAGTCAAACTTTCAACGACTGAAAATGAAGCCATAAAAAAGTTAGTATATTTAGGAACAACTTTTGGTCAAAGCACTAAGTACGCGAATTATGATGACTTGTGTTGTGCATATATGTAACTAAACAAATCTTTTGGAAGTTTGCCAGGATATTCTGCCATTACTCCAAATTTAAAATGTGCGATGAATGCACAACAATTTGTAGGCCCCCCTATGCAAAATATGCTTTTTATTGTAAATACATGGGAAAATCTGCACTTACCGACAAGACCAAAGTCACCAAGCAGTGTGGATCAAGCCTACGGGGAGTTCATGTACTAATGTGACACATCATGCCTACACACACATATTGCATTGGACAAGTCGAAGACGGTGGTATTGCCCTGGTTGCTGGTTGTTCTGCGGTTAGAAGGTTCCGACTATTACAGCTCGCGGTCACAATCACATTCACAGTTTGTCAAGCCACCGATGAGACCCAACTGACGGCTAAGGGGCGAGCCTCCATACCATGCCATCGACCATCTCATCATGACTCGACCGAGTGGTGAGTGACCAGAGACTAACAGCAAGGATACTGTTCACCGACGTAAAGATTCACACACTGTATAGTTTCTTTCGACTTTATCAATGATAACCAGTTCCTTGCCAAGGGAGAGAACACAGTTTGGATACACACACTTGACGGATCTACACACAACGCACAAGTTACAGGAAATGACTCACAAAGTGTCAACACTTGCACGAACCAAAAATTAATGACACGTATTAGGGCGCCCCCAATACAAAAATAGTAAAAAGTTTCATCGTTGAGGGCGCTATTTTGAAAAACAACCAAAAATTCTTTATTGAGGGCGCTATAAAGTCCAGAAATGACGTCCAGACTTTTTTCTAAACAAAATGTTAAACAGCGCCCTCAAGGAAAACTTTTTAAAGCCAACATAATTGAATAGCGCCCTCATGAAAGGAAATTGCGGTCCCAAAATTTTGTTGTCTGATACAGCGCCCCCAAGCGACTTTGTCAAAAGAGAGACAAAAAATTAATGCGGGTAAGTAAACTTTAAAAAAAATACTTTTTCTCGTTATGAAGCAAAATGTGTTTTGCCTCAAAGAATTTTTTAATGTAGATTATCAACAATGAAACAAATGAAGGTAAAGTGGTTTATTCTGGAAATGAAGACATCAGTTACCCTTTCCTGGAGGAGGGAAGCCTGGTCTTTCCAAGCCTGGGGGACAAAGAACTCATCAGCGATGAACTGACAAACCATAAACAGGGACTTTGCAGAGATTGAAATATGAACCAAACTCCAGCTTTGAATTGCTTGTTTTGCTTGAATACGTTTGTTCCTGCCATCCCTTCCCAGGACATTCCACGGTAATAATGGATCAGAGACTGTCCTTTTGACGTTCCAAATTGTTGAGACTTAATGACTAATTTCAGGGGAAAAATGTTAGGGGGAGGTGAATCTGTCAAACTTAAACTATTTAAGAGCACTACTTAGCCCATGTTTTGAAATCTTTAGAGCTGTAAAAATGAAAAAGCATTCTCTTTTTTGTTGGGGGAGGCAACATTCACCCGGCTGAACAGTGAAAGCGATCGGTCATTCCCTTGCTTTATTCAAGGATGATGACGCATTCAAATACCTTTTCAGATCACACCGAGAGTCTGTCAAAGTTGCTATTATAAATACATGAATTTTGAGAGTCCCCGTTCGAGATGGCACCCATGACCTACAGTTGAATGCATCCTCGATGTGACCATGTGGAAAACCTTGGTTTGTCCAGGGAGAAAACAAATGCCTCAAATAACTCCATTTGGACTACCCCCTGGAGAACGCCCTGTGCAGTTGGGATAAAAGTCACTTCGAGTCGTCCGAGAGAAAGCAATTACCAACAATCAGCCAATACGTCAAGTAGGATGCTGGAAAATGACCGGTGTAAACTCGGACGCTTAAACTGCAGATAGAGGAGCAACCAATTTGAGGTTAGAATAACATCATTACCATCCTGGGTTGAAAACAAAACACGTAGCGTGCGTGCACGACACAATAACTGGATACTGTTTTACCCTCTTTGTTTACCTTGGCCAGCGGCCTTCTAGACCGTTGGCGATTCTGTACACTTTTCATTATTGACAGTGCCCTAATGCCGATCTGGCGTGTGATCTATGCAAACAGCCCTGAGTTATATCTCGTTGTTTTTGAAAAGGGTATATAATTTTGTTCCACTATGGGCGTTGCATAATTAATTAATGAGCACGAAGGGGTTTTATTTGGCGGGCAGACACGTCCATGCAATTTGCCAGAATTAGGTAGCCTGTTTGCTGTTTGACAACGAGGACGCTGCCAGAAATTAATTTCTGTAGGCCTACTTGGTTTCGGGATGATGTCTGTGCTTTATCGTGGATCACTCGACAGTCGTGAGAAGGGACTTGAATAAAAAGAATCTTTGTGAAGAATGTGGAGCGTAAGGAATTCGGTGTTGAGTTAATTAACGGCATTTTGACGGTTAGCCTTTGCTATCAGTCTGTTTTGCTCGTTTATACGCCTTAACGGCTTCTTATAAGCCGCATCGTTGGCTGTTTTCCAAGAAAAGGAAAGCAGAATTCACTCTAATGAAGTTGAACTGCCCACAGAACACAAACACTGAATTCATAAGATTTCAGAATTTATTTCATGTACTTGTTCCGTGAAACGCAAGAAGTATAAAACATCAGAACATACGCATAAGGATATATTCGATAAGCAAATAAATGAAGAAAAACCTGGAGAAGCGCGTGACAATTGTTTGATCAAACAAGAACAAGTGTCTCTAGACTGTGAACGCAGTTTTCCAAAACTCTAATGACAAATATCTCTTGTAATATCATCAAGAGGAAAATAAAGATTTACTTTAATGGTAATTGTTAATTGCTTTGATTCCCGTCAACTCTTCACACAGATACGGGTTACATTAAAAAAATTCTTTACAGTTATTATGTACTTTCTATGACACACTTCAATCACGAATCAGAAATTGTTCTACAACTGAATAACAAACTTTTACACTATAGTTTCTTTACTGTCTATATCTCCCTAAAAACCGAGCTCCTAAAGGTGGCAGGTAGAGCAAAAACTAAGGTCTTATGAAAGGAAATAAAAAGTATTCTCTAAATATTATTCTGTTCTTGCGAAAATTAATTTCGCTTCTCGGAGATATTTCGTTCGAACGAAATAAAATGAACTTGTCCTTTGGATAGAAATGCTATATTGAGTGAAGTGAATGATTTGGATTGAAGGAAGTGATGCATATGTTTATTTGTAGGGAGTTACCTTCTTAAAACTTGCCGTCTTTTCTCCGTTAGGGGAAATACATAATACAAATGATTTACCCCGTCTCTGGATACAATATTCTCGAGTAGTGGAAGAGGAAAAAAGGAACAAAAGGAATAAGCACCATCTATTTTACAACATCTCCTTTATGACATATTGCTTTTGAAACTTGTATGGTATTATGACTCTCCCCCCAGAAGGTTCGCAAAATCATAAGTTGCAGTCATGTTTTCAATCATGGCTGATTGTGGGAAGTTACTTCATCGGGTGAAACTGGCTGTGAAAAAAGTTGTTAATTCAAAACGTATCCAAGAGCTCTAAATGAGAAACAACGACGGAGAGATCCATGAACGATTTCGTTAAATTCATTTTCTTAAAACGCAACGATTACAGCTAGAACACAACCCATACAATCTGCAATCTGGTGTCTTTAACTGAATCTAACCTTACAAGATCTTTCAAAATCCAACAAGATTGGAGATGCTATTGGATTAAAGAAAGGTACAACACAGCCGTTATTACTCTACGCAGAGCCTCATTCCCTTTGAAAATTTATATACATAGAATTTGTCGTTCTGTTCCTACGGTGTGGAGGAGTTTAGGGAGTTTGGCAAGATTCCTGATATAAGTGCTTGGAGATTTAATGTTGACGTTTGTTCCAGGCTGCCCACTTCCCTAATCTCAGTTGTAGGCAAACCAGAAGATGCCGTTAGATACGATAAAGGAGACGGGGAAGATGATGCGCGAGGCCACGTCGATGCGGCTGACACTGTTGAAGGGCTTGCCAGAGGCCCGGCTCTGCCGCAGACGGGCGTCACGGTACTCGGCGTTGCCGCAGATGCAGCTCAGCAGGTCACTCAGGAACGACTGCTTACTGGCCTCGTACGGACTCTTGACCTTGATGTTGTAGCGGGTCAGGCTGCTCAGCAGGGTGAAGCGTCGCTTCTTTCGCAGGGTCGCCTCCACGTTCTCTGCCTGTGAAATATGAAGGAAAAGGTGAAGATTTATGCTCTGCTCAGAGGAGGAAAAAGTCCGGGACACTGAGAAAAATCCACGACTACATAAACCAGATCCGCAAGTCCATTTGGTTGAGCTGGCAAAGTACAGAAAAAGCCTACCAAACAGCCCCTTTTGAAGTTCACTTTGAAATCGGCAGCAAAGAACCCTGGAATCTCTTGAAGGTGTATGCCGGGTAGATAAAGACTGCTTGCCTCGTACGAAGAGGATGGATCGAGTACCGGCACATAGTTTGGATTCATCAAGCGACAAATTTGGTCGCAGCGCTACCTTATGCGAGTAGAGTAATGTCCCCAAATTTCAATATTAGAATCGAAGTTCATATCAGATCAAGTCCTACTTTCTCATTTCAAAGTATCCTTAAATTGATGTCGAACTACAGTCATTTGTCCATAGTTGCGTTGAATTCTGTTTTACACCGAATCCCAGTTTCGATGAGTATTTTCTGATAAGAGCAGCGAATATCGTGACACGACTTCGAATCGATATCGCCAGTAGGGACAAGAAAGCAAAATAAGAAGTATATATGATGGAGGGTTTAAGACGGATATATGATGGCGGTCTAAGTGGTAAGCCTATACCTCGGCTTGTGCCATGTCATCGTCGTCGTCATCTGCCATCCCGGGCAACATGCCAGCCCGCCTCTTGGTGAAGTAGTTGACAGCGGCGTACTCCACCATGGCGGCAAAGACGAAGCCAAAGCACATGACGATAAACCAGTCGATGGCCTTGGCGTAGCTGACCTTAGGCAAGACGGCCCTGGAACTCCACCCCAGGGTGGTGATGGTCAACAGGGTCATGATGCCTGATCAAGTAGATAAGAAGTTGGAAAAAAAACGAGTATAGGTTTACACTCGACAAGGGTATTGAAATGCAAAGCCGGAAGATGCAGAGATATTTTTTGTGACCACCTCGCCTAAACAGCAGAGTTTTCATAATTATCCTAAAATTTGTCAACACCACCTATTTAGCTCGTTTAGTTATGAGCCCGTATGTAAGTGAAGATGATTTTCACATTGGTCCTGGTCTTGCAAACGTAAGTTCACCTTCACCTTTCACAGTGCTTCACTTTGTAAAATCTACTATTTCCCATTATACACATTCTATCTTTAAAAGCTAACACATTCTATCTCTTGAAGTGAAGTTTATTACTACCACGGAGGATGTCATCCGTTCTATTACACGTTAAAAATACTCAAAATAAAATTCGCCTCAAGAAAAGCGACAACTAAAATCTTTTTCAAGACTGTCGTCCATATTTGTGAAATTTCTTCGAGGTGTTTCCTCTGAAAGTCCCCCCAAAAGTAACTGATATACCAAGAACGAACAGGGGGACGTTTCGGAATAACAAACTCTCCTGTCGCCGTGGGCCGAAGCTTTTAGTCCGTGACAACACAAGTCGTGCATTGGACACACGAACTGCAGCGTAGGATTAAGTCACGACAATTACTGTAAGTTTTTTCCTCTATAATGACAGTACAAAATTGGGATATCCAAGACGGGGAAACAGACACAGCCAGATACAATTCATTTTCCTTCAAATAGCAGAAACACCCCCAGGCTGGGAATTTATCTCGCACTAAAGTCTCTTGCAGATTTAACAGTACGCAAAGGACAACTGTGCGGGTAAAGGGTTTCAAGACCAAGTCCACCACAATTGTCCAACAGAGGCGACCGTACCTGAGTGGTTGGTGGTGTCCGCTGTGCGTTGTTGGCAAATGGTGTCAAATTTGATATATTCCTAAAATATTCCTAAAATCTACTTTCAAATGTTTCTGTTTCACCTATTCTGACCGTTGTAAGGGGTTCTACCAAAGGTGCCGTTCGGTTAGGTAACTATATTGGAAATGCCAATATACAATCTTTGGGTTTTTCGTGTGTTAGATGCTATCTCTTCAATCTTTATCCAACGCAGGTCACTTTGCTGAGGCAACATATCGCAAACAACTTGTGGGAATCAATTCACAGTTTGATCAATGGAAGGCACTTCACTTTGCCAAGAGACATGAACTCGCTTTGAATCCAGAATTATACCTTTTACTCACACATTTCAAAGCTTAAACAAACGCTCAAGCAGAAGAACCTTCTTTTAAAACTGGCTTTAAATGGAAAGATAAGTTTAAAACGTCAAGTCAAAGGCAAATTTGTTGCCTAGTGGCAATATCAAGACATCGAGGAAAATTTATTGCGGAATTTATATGAAGCATTCACTCCCATGAGGCGCTTTCCTAAAAAACAAGAGGTAATATCTTAACCTTTCTCACAAAGTGCAGATTCGATAAAGCTTCTCTGCCGTAATGTAGCTCCGCTCGAACACAAGAGAGCATGACAGAAGCCATGTACAAGAAAATTTAATCATACAATGATCGTACAAATCAAAAGGGATTTTTTCACTTGAACAATTTGTTTTGATAAGAAGAATAAAAAAGACAGTGCGACGAGGCGTCTAGGTAATAATTTTATTTGGCACTTAGAATCAAAGTAAGTGGAAGATGATAAAGGATGTATCACGGAGAGCAAGGCAAGTAAACTCCGTCGTTCAAAGCGATCGATCCGCGAGGTGATAGCATATCACTTTCAAAAGTGCACTACTGACGATAGGGATAAAAATAGGAGAAGCACCGGACAGCGCTAAAGACCCAACTTAATTGTTTCACTTAGGGCAGGTGATCGGGAAGATGGATACTTATAGCTCGCTTGTTTGGGCACAAGCCTCACCGGTATTCGCCCGAGGGGCACGATGACTTGTTCCCTCGGGGTAAGGCAATCGGGCGAATTTGTGAGGCAAAGGTGCAAGTCAGGCGCTGAGGTTGTGTACGTTTAATTTCCAATGTGTTCACACCCGCACGCAATAGTTACACTGGCCATGCGTCACCCAAGCGATGAAGATCATCGCACTTTTCAGGAAGGTAGGCCTAAAGTGTGAATGTCGAGCTCGATGAAGCTGGCAGCGAAAGACATTATGGTACGTTTCTCTGGTTGGGGAAAAATATGGGGCCCTATTTTAAGTCACAGCTGTAGTCGAAGCCAAGTTATGGCAAATGCCTGTGTTGCAATTAAGAACTTGCACAGAAGCGCACACGACGCGTCTTGAGAAATCAAATGATTCGTCAAATTTATTGGGTCTTCCGCCCTCTTAAGTTCTATAAAATTGCCAATCAAATACGTCAATTTAAAGCTGATTTCTTTTCATTTCATAGGGTGACCTCAATGCTAAGAAATCAGTTTTGCAAAAACCTTTTTCAATAAAACATATTTACCTACTAATCTTTTCACTGACCGAAAAATGACAACTTTGAGCATAACGCTAATTCAAACGGTTCAGGAGATCGCAAACAATCCCAAAATCATAAATTTGATCAACTTTTGCCAAGTTCATAAAATGACATTAACCAGGACAGCTCCACGGGGATTTTGACATCACGTTCGCTTTCTATTAAAGAGGTTAGGTTTAATCGGTCTATCACCAAGCCCAGCGCCTTGTGGGCTCCTTCGTGGTATTGGCCTTACACATCTCGTGATGATCGTATTATTTGCAGCCACGGGACCAGCAGTAATCGGGGCTCTAGTCAGGCGTTCGCCCGCGAGAGGGATGATATTAATTTGCAATTATCCAGACCCTGCCGAATCAAGCGTGCCTCACGTGGCAAGTTGGGCAGGCTCGCTTCGCGGGCTTGGTCGGCTCATTTCCGTGTTGGCGCGCACTGTACCCCTGCGGAATTCAAACCTCTTTCGGGTTGTCCTTGTGGAACGACAAATTTTCTTTTAGATTCTTGGCTTGAAGTTGAAGGCCATTAGGGGTAAGAGATAGGAAAGATGGGACATTGAAGAGAGCTGATTGTTATCGTTTAATAACTTCTTTATAACTCTGAAAAGTTTATCGGGGAATTGCCTATTTAACGATAGGCCTAGTCTCTAAGTTATGGATGCCGTCCCCCCGCCCAACGACAAAAGGAATCTCTTTTCAGGAGGTCCAGAAAATGTCAACAACCCAGAAGCCGAAACTGCACTCTCTTAAAAATGAACTCAACTCTCTCTGACCTGGAAGAACAAAAGCGATATCACCGGTACAATGCAAAAGGCTTGTGAAGCACAATGTTAAACTCACAGAGCGCAACCCGAGCGGGTGTGGCCTCCCTGTTCAGCCAGAACGAGACCCAGGAAAGAACGACCAGCAACACGCAGGGAATGTAAGTCGAGATGACAAAAAAACCAGCGTGACGGGCCAGGTGAAAGTTCACCGTCAGCTGAGTCCGGTTACCTTTAGACAAAGAAATATATAATCAACTAAAATGTTATGACTTCATATACATTTTTTATCTATTTTGGGTCACTATCATGAACGGGTAAAATGTACCAAATCACATCCTTACACTTCCTTGGATTCAGCTAATCCTAATCAGCAAGGATCTCTACTCGAAGTATTATAAATTGACAGTCTATAATGTGTATTGCATGGTTCCAGACTAAGCTGTCTACTTCGTGTGTTGCTTCGAAGCTCAACTTGTTGCCAGCTTTCAGCAGCAGCGAACAGAATCATTGTGCAAAACCAGCATTTTCAAATTAGAGTGAGGACAGTTAACGGACGCGTGTTGTCCCGTAACTAACCTATGCGGTCGGATACCTTGACGCTTCTCTCGGCTTTCCACGTCTGAAGCGAGAACTGCGAGAAGCGGAGGTCCTCGGACACCTCGACGGAGGCCGAAGCGTTCTCAGGCTCGTGTAGCCAGCGGTACACCACGTCCTCCTCAGAGTAACTGTCTGCGGAACGGAGGCAGCAAAGCAGAGTCCCCTTCACATTTCTTCAAAAACTTTTTTGTGCTTAATAAAGTGGCAAGATTTTATTCAGGTTTTAGGTGTTATCCCATACCAACCCTACTGATTAATTGTTAACACGGATCTTTAGGAATCAGTATATACAATAAGATGTCTTCAGGAAGCACTTCCTATACTATGAGCAGTGAAGGGCGCTAGTCATTGGCAATAGCAAGTTATCAATGGAATTTCACTACTTTGCACGCAATTATCGCTATAAATCTTTTTCTTAGTCAATGCACTTCAGAGAAATCGAAGTGACCAAAAGAGTATGTCTGAAAAATTCAACTTACACGCGTATCGGATTAAAATAAGCAATTTTAACACATTCAGGTTTGCTTTCTTTGAGCAAGGAAATTGCTTTGGTCATACTAGTATCACATTTAAGGTGTTGTCATCAGTTTCCATATGCACAATTTTTTCCACAACCTTAGAGATAAGTTTCGATTGTCAGAAAGTAGCACGTCACACACGTCAATTTTGAAGTTGCATGAAGGACTTCTATTGCATTTTATACATGACAGAATTCTACTTAGCCATTAAAGATGATGGCATTTTCCCATTCAGTGTTGGCTTTAAAATGATCTTTGTTAATTGTTTAACTAGAAATAAATCTAGTTAAATTATAAAAAAGAAGAAAGACTGATACAATGCATCTAGGTTTTTGCAACATTAAGTTAATATCTTATTAGTGGGATGCCAGGGGTTCTTAACCCACTTGTCAGAAAGGGCGCAGCTCAGGACACGCTGAATAACTTGACAAAACACCAAAATACAACACAGCAAATAAACATCTTTATATCCCATGCGCCTTGGGGTGAAAAAGGAAGAGTTCAGTTCCGGTCTGATTGCTAATCAGTGCTAAGTGCTTCGAAAACAAGACTGGGGTCGTGCGTGACAACAACATGTTAGGCTTCCCTCTTGTAGCATTAGTGTAAATAGCCCCCTGTCGCTTTGCGCGGGAAAAAATCTCCGTTGCTTCTCTCCCCACTTGGAGAGAGAGAAAAAAGCGCCAAAAAGGGGCATTCGGCTTAATCGGATTAGAGGATTATCCGCAGTGCGCCCACTTCCATAACTGGAGCCATTTTGTTGAGTGCCATTGCTTTGATTGAGGCATGATACGATCTCTGGTGATATCTCGATGAAACTAATGTAGTTGGATTTTCTGTAACATTTTCACAAGGCATTGTGAATGTCATTTTCTGGTTGTGCGAATTTGCAGTATTGGACTAAGTCAACGAGATAAGATTCCGAGGTTACTGAAGGTATGACACGCTCATACCTCTACACACTGTCACCACAGTTCTATCCGTGAAGTTATGTCGCGCAGTTTTCTTAGATTTTGGGGAATTCTGGTTGAAACGTGATCAAAGCTTGCCTAAATGACAAATTCTTAAAACCACACATTCCCTTTTAAAGCTACCGGCCAACATTTTGCCAGAACGACAGCGTTTCTATACAAATTCAGTCACCCGAAAACATTAGGCACGCCCCCAGCTATTCCGTTCCAGTTGCTACCCCTTCACATCGCACTAGGAAGGGCTAAACCTCCTCTTAAGTGTACTCACTGACAAACGTTGTCGAAAATAACCTCAAATAATGTGTACCGGTTAAAAGAGTCTTTGCATGGTTGCATATGGTCTCTTTCCATGATCAAAATGTCCATAATAGTACATACTTACTGCTTCCAAAGTGTAGCGGACAGACTTGTGTGTCCATTGGATACTTTGCCAAGTTCATGATGCATTCTGCTTTTAAGGTCAGACTGAAAATTAATAAGAAAACAACTGTCATTGAAAAGTCGTCGAATAAACGCGAAACTAGGTAGACAAAATATTGCTGTGTTTTACATGGAAAGGACAGATGCCTTCAATGCAACGAATCCTATGCCATTAATGACAAGCGAATGGAAGACGTCACGATACAGAAAGACCACAAGAAACACGCAACCAATAGCCGATAATTTGCAGCATACGGTTCTGTTGTTTCCGTCGATTGCAGCTACACTCAAAACTAGATCCCGAAATCCGGGTGTTTTGCGGGCGCAAAAAAACATGCTCGTAAATGTTTCGGAATGGCGCCCTCATGCGCAGACGCTCTCAAGATGGAACAGTCGACCAGCAGGAATCAAGTACGTCCAAGTGAAATGAAAATTGACAGATAGTAGGACAAAAACAACAAGGATATGGCTGATTTAAAATCTTGCTCGTCCTTAAATAGATTTCCTTGCAGACTGCAAATGCCAATAATGGTGACAGGTGCACAAGAGACATTAAATGCGTTCTGAACGCAACAATTTTTTTTATTTTCGATTTCACCTTATTTCAGACAAATACCCCGGGGCAAACGACATATGTAATCTTCGGGAAATCACAACCAATGTTTGTGTGTGTAACTGGACTACAAATTTACGTTGTTAATGGCCATGGATCATCGGCACTTTGAACATCAATTTCACGTGCCGGGAACATTCATAGCCGCGCTAACATTAATAGTAGGGAGTTTAACAAAGTCTGCCATTTCTACTATCTTGACTGCAATGCGTCGGCTAGTCGTACTTTTCGTGTACAGTGAGTACTGAGTTTAAGGCTGGTTAAAATTTTTCTCCGCTATTGGCAAGGGGGCTTGCCTGTCACTGCGCAGTCCCTCAAGGGCCTGGCAAGAAGATGCAATATTAAAACTAAACCGGCCGGGTGTGCTGAGCCCACCTGGCTTGAGCCAGATTTCTGTACTTTGGGGCAAATCTCCTCGGTGGGATTAATAAAAGTGCGCCAGTAGTGCGAGGACCCTCCCGGTTCCCGTGATGAATCGCGGCCCGTGTCAGCAGAGGGTCTAGCACGCCGGTGGCTGTACGGGACGCTCTGTCTCCCTTCGTCCCATCGGAGCTCATCGACTACTCAGAATCAATTCGCAGTCATTTTTACAGTCAGTTGGCACTACTATATGGGTAATACCGTCTCTATCCCCAAATCCTTCTGTCCTTCTAAAAAGACCCTTTTGTTAGGGCCTCGTGTTTGGCTGGGGTCCATCACGAGCAAAACCCACCCCAAGGGTTCTTGGACAAATCGAAAGGGAGCAAATTCAACTGGATGCATAAAGCGGACGAAGCGCTATAATGGAATTGTGATTGCTCAACGCCTCCAACCAAACCTTATAGGACTCTATCATGAGAGAGATTAACACTGAAGCACTTGGCAAAATGTCAGCTGTTATTTCGTCGCTGCCGTATGGTAGTCTTTGCAGTAATGCCACGAAGGCATTAGAGTTATTTCGATCAATCGTTCACCTGTCTTTGCCCAATTTTCCTGATATTGATGTTCTGGACTCAGAAACACACGTCAGGAAGCGAGCAACATGAGGGAAATTAAAGTTCAATGAACTGCTGTGACTGAGGGGTGTATATTCACTTCAATGCGTTCATATCCTACGAAGGTAAATCCAGACCATGCCTGATGTTTACCAACTCTTGCACAGCCTGTGGATGTTATTAAGAATATTACCGAACTCCGGAACATACATTGCATAGCCCCCTACACACAAACAAACTGCGAATGAGACATCAAAGCTTCAAGTGGGACAAATGATTGATGAAAGTGCGCACAACTTCAGCCAGACTGAACGAGCCTTTGCAAACACTAGGCCACGGTCTAAAGTTCCATGATTAAGTCTAGGACTATGATTGTGAGGCTGAGAACATTTTGCAGATGCTATCAGATTTCAACATTCCATTCCTCTTAGTGACGATAATGTGATTTAATTATGTGATGCAATTAGCGAGCCACAGCGGCATTGCTCTCCTGAAGGGGTTGCCCATTACGGCAGGTATTTTCAGTCGTTACTGATACTTGCAATTTTAGAACCATTCTCACACTCACGATCTACTTGCTTTCTTTACTTACATCTTTAGATACACTGTATATTAATTCCATCTGCAAGTGTTTCGATGATGGTATAAACTCAACACGTGTCATACTTTTCAGTGCTTTCCTTCACAAGCTCGTGAAAACTCTGATGGTGCAAAGAGACACATTTCAACACATGATATTATGAGGGCTGTTTCCGAAACGGGCTTCCTGGGCTACGGCTAGATCTATTGTCTACGCGTCTCCACGCTTTTTCAATGGAGTGAAGACCTAGACCTAGCTCTAGGCAAGAGATTGGGATGCAGCCCAAGGCTGCTAAGTTTCATGATGATCTGCTCAAAGACAAGTTCCCGCCTCACCGCTGTGTATAGAGCACCTTGCCCTCCGGCGAGATGCGGAACAGGCGGTTGGGTGTGGTCACGGTGTGGCGCTTGCTCCGCCGGCCGTTGAAGAAGTAGGTGTCTGGGTACCAAATGGACTCCAGCATGATCGTGTTGAGCGGCAGCATCTCCACCGAGGTGCTGTTGAACCTGAGGCGGGGGTCGGTCCAGCGCTGTCGGAAGAAGACATCCATGCTGAATTCCTGGGAAGGAGATGGTAGAAAGGAGAGAATTTAAAATTGTGTTGCAATCAGCCGATCAGTTCTGCAAAACACTTAGGGTCGAAAGAAAGGCCAGTGTTGGACATCTGCAAATGGTTTTTGTTTTAGGGCCGCGGTTCATATACTTCAGGCGAAAGCGAAATGAAACGAATTTGACGTCACGAAAATTTTGCAGGGAAATTTCGCTCGAGTCGAAATGTGTTCAACTTTAACGAATTTGATCTGATGTCACAAAGTCGCGTTCGCTTTCGCGTGGAGTACGAACCGGTTTTTACTTGCAGTTCTACACGAACTGAGTTTATTTTCTAAAATGTTTTCAATTCTACAATTCCGTGAAGCTTGTGCCTTGTTAAATCTTCACAATCCTCAGCACATATTTTTGTTTTGAGGGAAGCCTACCTATGCCGTATCGCACAGACTATTTGCATCCCAACTTTTTTAAGTTCGGTCAGAGACTATCCGTCGATGACTGTTCGAATTTCCCTGGTAACGTCTACACAAAAGATATGCACAACACATTATGACCAGTTGTTAGCTAAGTCTCTGATCGAACTTGACTTCAGATGCCCACGCACCACGTACCTCTTTATTGGGTCACCATTTTGAATAAAACCGGGCAAATGGAATCATGTCATCTTTAATGACAACTAAAAATTATTCATCCTGTATAAATCTGAGTGTCACGAAGCTTTATAATTGGTAATGAATTAAAGGACTTAAACAGTTCCTCGTGCTTTTGTTCTATGCCGCCACCATAATTTTGTGTCAGGGTTTCTGCAGGAAAGAAAAGATGAATCATTCAGCAGAAGGTAATAGAAAACACTTGACTTGTGGAGAATTTAAACTCATCCTTGTCAAAAGGATGAGTAATGCTTTCTTTGGAATGAACCTCTTTTGCGCTTGTCGTGCACCTTTGTATCTCAAACACCCCCCTGAAATGGGTCCAATTCAAATTAATAAATGACACAAAGCCAGGGTGAGAGGCGGTCTCAAGGAGGTAATCTCTGAGCGACACAGCCATGGCAGCTCATTCAGATTCAAGCGAGGATTCAAGAGGCCTAGCACTAACACTGGCATTCCTCATGAACAGCGTCGCAAACAGAGCTGACGTAGATAACGGTGTGCGCATAGCGAAACCGGAAAGGCCAACTCGGATGGACAATAAAACTCACGATACACTCAACGGAAATCTACCCTGGAGACGAATTGTCCCAGTCCATCAAATAATGATTTGTGCTGGTAAAGCCTATATGAGGCGGGGGGCCCCAGAGTTCACCGGTAATAACCCGCGTGTACAACATTAACGCTTTATTAATGACCGGCGGAGAACCCGGAAACCAAACTATTTAGCCCTTAATCCGCTAGCTCAACGAGTCGCACATCGCCTCATTACGAAACCAAGGGTGCCCTACACAGTAAGCCAAGCTCTCACAAACAACCTCTAAGAGAGGTGTGGTGAGTTATTGATTTATAACGCGCTTTGAAGTGTTCTTCAAACAGATGCGCAGGATGTGGACTGAATATATAGTTACCAAGTAGTCTTAAGTGATCTGGCATCGCAGCTGGAAACGCTAAAGATGAAGTTTGTGAGCAGGTTTTTGGTCAATGGAAAGAGTCACACTTTTAGTTGTAACTACAGTAACCAACGATGAGCGGACAAACGAGCTCACAAAACCTCAGTTTTGGTATAATGATCAGGTCAGGGACAGATTAACGGTGTAACGGTCGGGTCCCATGATTATATAAACAGGGACTTGGGCTTAGTCCTTGAGAGGGGATCATGTCAAGGATTCCAACGAAGATTCGGTTTTGTAGCAAGCGTAGTCACTTCTGCTAATACAGGGATGCGTGGGGAAAGTTGAAGTCAGTGTTTGGATTGGGAAATCGAGATAGGACCTGAATTCTGATATGAAAGTTATTGGCATTTGAAGTCCTGGCTCTGGAGAAGATAACATGGGATCGTTCACATGACCCTGTCTTTAATTCTTCTCATCCATATTATTCCAATCGACGGGACGGGGAGGGGGGAGGATGGGGGGTTGTGGGGGATGACTTACCCGGCAGGGGGAATTTGAAGGCGGGGGGAGGGTCCTGACACCTTATCACACTACAGGGCGACGTTCATGATACTGTATTAAACCTTGCATCCAGAAGGCGTATTTATGGCCTTAAAAAGTAATGTTCTCCCCCTTTGAGTGCTATTGAATACATTCTGGTTGTTGGGAGTCCGAAGAATTCTTCAGAATCCCCCTTAATTTTGTGTCACCACGAAATAGTGGGAGATGAATCAATAGCCCACTCCCCTGGTCAAAAAGTCAGGGGCATAAAATTGCAAGTATCCCCCTGGAATTTACGACCAAGACGCTTTTAAGCTAAAATCTGTCGAAGTCAGACGAGTGTGAGCGCAATTTTGGCTCTTTTTTGGCACGGAGTTCTCTAATTACAGTTCAGGATTGAATGGACCAGCAGTAGAAAATTGGCCGCAAACCCCTTGACGGAATAGGTCCCAAATGCTGATAAATGTCAGTGCAGGTTGGGGGAAATGAAAGAAGACCGAGAGTGAACCGCGCTGGGTAACGACTGTTGGGCCAGGTCGCTAGGGACAGCAGGGCACCTAATGGCCGGTAGACGTCGGCTAATTCGTCTTTTTTTGGATTCACAACCTTATGGTGCCGCCGCGATTATGGCCGTTCAATCCAGCCACTTTAATATATCTTGTCTTGGCTGCCAATATCTTCCGGCACAGTGAGGAACGCATTGACGAGAGTCACTACAGAGGGATCCCAATACGACGCTTTTAACGTCGATCTGCGCACTTCTGTGTTTGAAAACGAGGCTGTATGTACCAGCTTCAATTCTTAATGCGATCAGACGACTGAAAGTAAGGAGTCAAGACACAAAATACATGAAGGTATGTTAAATTCAGACTCTTCAAGCTGCAAGTTTTTGTGGAAGAATCTTTCAGGATGACATGACTCGACATGTAAAATCAAAAGAAAAATAACGGCAATTTACAGCGAACTAACGTACCTGCGATGGTCGTGTACCTGCATGTGCAGTAGGCGTGGTTTAAACTGAAGTGGCGTCACACTTACGAACCAGATACTACATGTACTGTGTCGACTCCGCGGGTGCGCGCGACTAAGTTCAACACGGGGAGCCTCGGTTTAAATGCGGATATGCGCAGACGGCGCTAATGTGAAATCCCTCGGTAGTCGCCGTTTTTTCATGGGGCCTCAAGTCAGACGTAATGGAGATCCTAAAACTGGCTTGAGGGTCCATACAATTGATAAAAGGGAACATCAGACACGCCATTTTGATTGTTGCAAGTCTAGTATCGCACCACTTTCTTCTTAGGAAACCCGCAGTGATGATCCGGGTGCTAGACGTTATCCTGTTCTGTGTCCCTCACTAATGGAGAGAACGGACTCAAGTTTGAGAAAAAATGTTCCCACAAGACTTATGAAACACGAGGTTAAGGGAATGCATCTTTAAAACAGCGTGCTTTATTGAGAACAATTTTGTTTTTGTTTTTGGAGGGGAAGAGGCGGATTTCGAAATCTTTAACGCATTCCCGAGGTCACGGTTGGACCAAAAGCCCACGCCATCGGAACTCTCTTATTCGCAGGTTAGAGACTTTCCGTGATATGTGTGACTGCATTGACCGAAGACGTAAGCGACAGGCTTACCGACTCTACCAAGCACCGATAGCCCGGGACAGCCACGGGGAGAGGAAACAGATTTTATTACAACCTTGAGGGCAGTAGGCCTGTGTTCAAGCAAACACTATTCCTGACTTACTGAATTTCAAGCCGTGTTCCATCGCTCCGGAAATATGATGGCATCATCCCTTCCCCGTCTCGCCATTTTCCAGTTCAGCCAAGAGGAGGCCTGGCCCGCACGAGAGTTAGCAGTTAATGACGCAGGATTCGATTACGTGCGGTGCAACGGACGACAATTGGATCAGCCGAGCGAGAAAGATAAAAGGCAGTCCTCGGCCAAAAAAATCCCCCAAATTGGATTGTGAAAAATATTGCAAATGAAAAGAAGAATGTCGTTAACATGTGGTAAAACCCAGTCGAACAGGACTCAATTAGCGGGTTGTCGGGGGAGGGATTTAAGGGAAGGCCTACCAGATCTATCTCCACCACGGGGCCGATGCTCAAGGCATAGATATCGCTCTGAATGACCACCGGAGGACCTGTGGCAAAAGGCCAAAAAGAGATGCATTTGAGAGAGACAACATTAATGGTCTATCTACCGTAGATAGCAAGGTCGCCGTGCATTGCAATTCGTCTCCCCAAGCAGGTATAAACTAATTACACAATGTACGGCAAAGTGGGCAGCTTGTCAATAAGTACTACAGGGGAATTGAATAAAAATATGATTAGAACTATTATAAAGAAACATGGCACGGTGCTAAAATGGCTAAATTCAAATGAAATATAAACCTATGGGGCAACAGTATAATACGCAATTAATCACAAGAACAAGGAATTATGGTTGCAGAAACAACGCACAACGGTTAGGTAAACCTTAATAGAAAATACTGAATTTTAAGTTCATCCAAACAAGAGCTCTTTTTGCACATTATTTTTGTTGATTCCTGAAATGAAGAAACGAACAACACTTCAAACATTCCTGCACCTTCTTTGGAAAAGGTTTACTAATGAGCATTTGAAACGGAGGGTGAGACCGAATATCTGAGACTTTTAAATACGTGAAAATCTTCACTCAACCAGGGAAGCTTGAAACGTGGACCCGGCTCTTGAGCTAGAAACTCGGCCCTGCCGGACCCGAGTGTGCCTTCTCGCCTGGGCTGCTAACATTTCTCCTTCCTCTTGTTGACAAATTGGCCATGAGTGGGCTGAAGTGACCGGCCGCCTTGGACCGGTAGAGGTCAAGAGACATCATGGGATTTCCCGGTGGCGATATGACTTACCTGCGCCCAAGCCATCGGACACCTTAGACCTGTTTGGCTCCATCAGATGCCGTCGAATTTAGGTCAGGGTACTGACTCTTTTATCTACCCGATGACCATTTTAGTCCGTATAACCAACAGAAAAAAATTACAGTCTAGTATACTCTTAACGCGTAAGGACGCACTTAGCAGTACATGTAAGCTTTCATGCATAACTAGCAAAATGGCGGGCGTCTCCCCCTATTGGTATTGTAACTTTTATACACCAGACACATTGGGAGTTTCGAATATCCAAATGTATCGGTAGCTGATCATAAAATTAGATGGGGTTGAGACGCTAGGTGGCAGCCGCCATACAAAAAAGAATTCATGGTGACGCGCCTGCCCTGACCGTAACCATATTGGTAAGGGGGGGGGTTGAATGAAAATTGTCTAAAAAGTAGAGTTCGACCAGCTGAATATTTGGGAGTCCGTGTTTGATGGGTCATGACCCAACAAGAGCTGAATGAGCATTACCACTGCTTCTTGAGAAGTTGAATTATTAAACCATCTTATTTTGAGAAAACGCAACCATGGAACGGTACCTAGTAACTCTCACAAATCCTGGAGATGTATGTAGTCACTGAGAGAACGATAACCAGATAAAGGCACAAGTCTGATTTAAACAGCCCTCCCAAACTGTGTGATGCGGTTCTCAAACATCGAAACCTCGGTGTGATTCGGTGTGTGACCGGTGTCAAATGTAAAAGATGGTGCATCCACCGCTTTGGCTCGATAACGTGAACCGCTGAAGTGCTTCCGTCGCTTTCTTCTCGTTACATCCAACCATTGGCATCCGTCGTACTGACCTAAAAGGGGTGAATGCCGCAGCATCGCGTCCATGCACTCATGAGGAAGCTCCACATCTCATGTCAAAGGAAAATCAAATCATTATTTTCCCATTGACTTTGTCGTAAACGAGCAATCAACCAATTTCAACGCAGCGCACCTTGGTCTTCGTTCACTTCAATTCAATATATCTTGACCTTGCAGAAACTTTTATGTCGCCTGGAGTGATAAAACAACGCTGTGTTTGATTGAATCGACTGCCCTGTACTTTAAAGGATACAGTGAAAGATATATCAAATCAAAGAGGTGCTACAATATTACAAATGACCATTCAAGGGATTTGAATTATGCAGTTTTTATGGGAAAAAGACGTGAAGCCCCCGCAGAGCTTGCGATGAGGTAGGTAGCGCCGACATGTACACTTTTGCAAGAGTAAGATCAATAAATTGTGTGACATTATTTGACTTTACATGACATGACTGGCTTCCAATTTCCTCTACTTTGTTATCTCGCAACTGCGCCGGTCGGCAACTTCGACTTATGACGTCACAGTGCGAGTCTCGGAGCATGGATCTTTTATGGGGAAGCTTTGCGGGTGACAACAACGTAATAATGTCTTCTTGGACGTCAGATGAGAACCTGACCTTTCAAGTAATAAAAATTGACTAAAAGTCTCCACCATGTAATAAATATTATTCAATAAACAGCATTAGACAAATGGCGAAACCAATCTCAGGAATGGCACCTTGATTTTCTCGTCAGTTTCGAAGAATTCCAAATGAACCACTCCTGTTTCATTATAAAAAGCTTTCCCATCAGACACATTTGGAAGCAGACCTCACGAGTAAACAGCGCCAGATAAACAGGAACGTCTAAAAGAAAGATAAATCCGACAGCCCACTTAGGAAGAGAAAAAAAGTGCATAAGCAGCACCAAACGCCCGTGGCTTGATCATTCTCAAGAAAACGACAGCGTTTTGCATTGTGGAGACCGAGTGCTGTCGTACCGTATTGCCGGGACCGGAGCATAGCTGTTTGCTCACCGAGGGATCAGACCAATAGCTCATCTGGGCCTGAGTAAGGAGAGCGCAAGAACTTAGGGATAATACTGAAATAGAATCATAATATATTGTTCCACTTGAAACTGTATTCACGCTATTCTGATATTATGAACAAATGTGTATATGCTTATACACTGGTGTGGACCAGTATCGTATGACTATGAGGTTTATGTTTCCACATTTGGATTTTTTAATTCGAGGTCACTGCTAACAATGCATTATCAAATTAAGATGAATCGCAAAAGAAAAAGTAATAAAACCTACAGGAACCAATCTGTCCAAGCGTAAATGTCAACTAACACTGAAATACTGCCAAGTGGCCAGGGAAATAAACTGCCCTACGTACCAAAGAACACTTTCGTTTCAGAATCAAGTTTACTTTACACCTCCGTTCCGCTCTCAGATTTACTTTAGTTTAAGGTGGAATATTATTGACCTAATTTTGTGTCAGCATACGGAACTTCTCAGACCGTGTGGATCTTGTTTTCTTTTTCCTAGATCTTGTACTCAAACGACAACACACTGGTCATCTCGATCGCTTCAATACGAAAACAAGGGGACTCACTCGACCGTGAATCGGGCAGAGAGCGTGCCGCAGAGATCGTGTCGGGGTTCCGCCATGTTGCACAGCGAATCTGTGATCATATATCTTTACCTATCAGGATTTTGCAACGCAGCAAACATCAGGCCTGCAGACACTGGCCATTAACAGTAAAGTATCATCTAAAATTCTGGTTTATTGCTGAAATAAAAACAGTCCTTTCATGTTGCGAAACTACTTTTGTTGTACCCACGGGCAACCTCGACTCGTCGTCTCTTATTTCACAGTGTTATGAAGCGGTGTGGACTCACTTGCGAATACGTCGACAAGAGCGTGCTCTCACACGCAATTCGTGAGTTATCCTCGCGAATTTCCTCGTTACCAAGCAAACCTGATCTTCAAGAAATAAAAAATCAAATTGATACTACTCATTCGATTAGTAGAGGAAAATACTTTACTTCTCCAGAAAATAAGAAAAGACTATGAGTATTAGCCACTCGCAAGGGCGTAGGAATTAGTTTACCATGGTGGGAAGGGTACAATCAAAATGCCCAAAAGCCGCGGATTGGACGTGTTTAACACTGCACAGGGTCGTTATTTGCATGTATATATTGCTGCGTTTTAGCCCTCATATAGACAGTTCTACCAAACATTTCACGCGGAATTTACATTTTGGTATCGGTCCTTGCCTGTTTCTTTCATTATTTTCTCCCCCGATATAACAATTTTCCCCGTACGAAAATGGGGGTGGGGGAGGAATAATGTTCCCCTTCCCGGTCACAAAGTGGGGGGAAATTACCCCCTCCAATGATCCTCTTCCTTAGCTTGCCATATCAATATTTATGAGTGCATAAAATATAGACAGCGTTACTGAAGTTGAAGTCTACCCCGATTACAGATACCTGTACCTTTACTGTGGGCTTCATTAATTGCCAAAGAGATCGATGGTGAATATGAGGTGCTACACCATTTACTTTCAAAGGATTAATCAAACAGCATTTTCTGCACCTCAAAAATTGAGATTTCTACTAAAATATTTAAGATAAGAAAAAAAACAGCGACAGTTCTTAATACCCCTTTTACTTTTTACAAACTAACAGAATTAATTAAGAATTCATAAACAAAGTGCAATGTTAAATAACAACAACAACAAAAAAAAGGTTGACAATCGTGCCGTGTCACCAACTGAAACCTGTACCACTTGCAAATCTATGCCTCACATCTGATAATGTAAAATTCAGATGGAAGTCCACGCTGCTTTGTTCTTAATGTCAAATATTGTGTTGCACGTGTGCATGCTACCGAGGGTAGAAAAACTAATGGAGTTTTAAATGTCGACAACTGAAACTTTAAAGGAATAACATGGTCAAACCCCGGAACGAAATTTTAAATAAAACGAGTATCTCTCTTTAAGACAGCCGGGTCGATTGTAACCTGTCCAAACAGGTTACCCGAAACGCATGGAACTAACTTACTTGTATTCTCCTCTCATGACAAACTTCAAAGCCTCGGTTCCAGAATATGATCCGATTTCGAGGCGAGAATCGATTTCAAGCACTACGTTCTTCTCAACAGGTTTGTTGTGGGAAGTGGCTTGTGGTTAGCCTCAATTTTTTTTAATATGGGCTCTGGATCCCGACATTTCACTCACCCCCCCGAAGTTGACATTGGCCATCCTTGGAGCCAACAACAGAACTATTTAAACCGCGTACATTTCTGTGTGGTTTGACAAATAAACAACGGACAGACCTTAGTTTTTACGATGCACAAAGCTTCTTGTAGGTATGTATCCAATAATACGACCACGATCTTTGCACCACATCGAACTCGGAAAGTCGATATCCGTCTCGAGCAGATGCACCCCCTCATCGGTTGAAAAGAGCCATTTTGGCCGGCAGTGTTCATTTTGTTGGTAGTGAAGCGACCGTAACGAGTGCATGCAATATTCGTTCGTGGACCTGCGAAGTTCAATTAGGACCGAAGGAGCCTCTGTTGCTAAGAAAATTGCGCCCTCTCTTGGTCCAGCTCAAGGCTCATAGGCAGGTTTGCCAGAGAGTGTCATACACTGCGATTTGATTACAGCATTTTTTTTCACATCTCATTTTTTTCCCATCAAAGGTGTGACCTTTAACACGTGAATTTACCCGAGTAACGTTATCAAACGAATTAAATAATAAGCTGCTACGGCTTCTTACAAGTTATGACATGAATTCTAAGGAATAGGCCCTGGGCGGCAACATTTGCCTGAGCAATTTTACTATTCATTAAATGAAAAAATAGTAATACATGAGATAAATGAGCAAGAGTACTTTTCTTCACGCATACATATCAACTTCCAAATCTTTCAGACTGGGGATCTTAAACTTAGAAGACTTATACAAGCGCATACTTGGCTGAGATGCTACAATCTGCAGAGGCGAATATTTATATCATTCATGTACTGCTGCATCGATCCTCTGAAAATGTGCAGGGCCGTCTGTGATGTTGCTCAGTGATCCGTCGATAACACGAGATGTAATGCACAGCCCCGAAAAAAAATCCGCCTGAACATTGATTGATAACAAAAAAAGTGTGGCCGGATCGCTGATATGCAATAATTTAGAAAGAAGGTCAACTTCTAAATCTTGTGAGTTCCCCGGGAATATCGCATTCCGGGCTATTATCTTGTCATTTTCGTTCAGCCGATCGGTGAAAGATTGGTTTGTTTTGATTTTCTACGTTTCTCCGGGGGGTCTTTGATCTAATCGTTTAGACGAATTCCTCCCTCGCCTCTCGTTCAGCCAGCGAGAAATTCACGTTCTCCGGATATCTCGTCTCTCCCATCGGAGACGATGTCAGCGCCGGATGCGATATAACACTGACGACTAAGGTCGACCATTGATATGGAGGAGGACTCAATCGTTCGGGAACATCTGAACCGTTCGTCTTGCGGGAACATCTTGGTGGGGTCCCTAACCATCCGAGAACACAATCCAAACTATAAATCACCTCAAAAGCCAAGCCTTTCAAGTATCCCTGGAAGCGGGAAGGTACGCCTTGGCAGGCGTCGGGCTTGTTTAAGGAGTCCCAGTGCTTTCTTTCGAAGCGGCACTCTTTTTCTTGGACCAGTATCCACATCCACAGCAAATTCAGTGTTTAGTTTCTAGATGCTTTCTTTTGTGGCTAATTTTGATAGGACACAGACATTGAGGCGGACTGAAAAGATCAACGAGTTTTTATTTATGAGGTTTTTGGGAGAGAAAAAACAGAAAACTGAAGCCAATCTACAACAGTCCTTGGCCAGTCATCTTCTCATAAATCACGGCGTGTTTGCATCCTCTCCTGTCCTAGAAGATGGCTATGATATCCATACCCTCGGGCGGAACTAAATCAACTCCAACTTAGATTTCGGGCTGGAATCACTACCGTATGCTTCTTTTTTTACCCGGAAAGAGAGCGCCGTGTGTGCATACCGTGCCAGGAACGCTGTACGGTCAGCCGTGAAACGCGGTGCGAGAAACGGGCACGGGATCAGACGATCACTCAAGTGGACGCGATGACGACAGCCCCGTATCTCACGGGACAACGAGACGATAGTGGAGCACCCCCAAATAAGGCGAGAGCCACCGCCCCAGGGTCTGAACGCGCGCGGGATGCGAGCCGACTTTACCACCGCAGACTGAGCAAAAACACAGCGCAGCAATCCTGACCGACACCCCCCTCCTCTCCAAAAATTCATTTGCCCACTCTAAAATGAAACAAGAGAGCCTTCGAAATGGGCATCCTTACACTGGGGTCCGTTTTTTTTGTTTGGATAAAATTATCCCCGGCTTTTGTCAGATCTCACCTGGGTTTCAATTAATCTCGTCTCAACGCGCTGGAGACATAATTAAAAGCCTTGGCAGGAGTGCTCCTTGGGGTCCCGAGACTAGTAGCCCGAGGAACCCCCCCACGGTGCCCGTATATCCCGGTGTTCGGCTGACAGCCAATGCCCCATGTAAACGAGAAGCCCTGATTCAGCTGAACCGGATTGTAGAGAATCGATACCCTGGACCAGTACTTGCAAATCTCCCCCAGCGTCACTGAAACCTCTGTCCAAATAGCGATTTGTGGCGGCAGAGATTGTTTTCAGGAAAAAGGGTTATCACAACATAAATGGAGAGAGAGAGAGCAAATTTCTCCAGCTGTTGTAAAAGGTTGGCCCATATAACACCACCACACGGAGCGTGGCCTTAATTTAATTAGACAGACCTCATTTCTAAATACATTTAATTACCACACTCAGTACGTTTCCGAGTGCAAGCTGAACCCTTGGTGATAATTTGTTTGGAGTTGGGTTCTGTCCACAGCTGGTTGTAAAATACATTTCCTGTCAGGAAAAATAATAAATTCTTGTATTTTTTGGCCGAAGGATATAAAATTCTGATGGATGGCAACACTTTTCTGTCTTCGAATTCAGCTATGAAACATTTTCTTGCAGTCGGGAAACCAGACCAAAATGACTGTTGGCGATTCTGCAATTCTCTGAGATCCACTATTGAGATATAATATACGAACAACGCTTCAACTAGAAATAAATGACTGTCGGTTGCTGGCAGTCTGTCCTTACTGTGAGCAAAAATTGAAAGACTTCGGGGCACACACGGGGAAATTACATCAACTGCGTTTATTAAACCAAAGGCCTACGTAATTCGACCAAACGGTTCGCGCTGCCTTAATAAATAACCCGTCGGTAGATCAAGTGTAAACGCTCTCGCCAAAATGTCGCACCACTGCGGTCGGAACTGGGACTAGGTTACAAGTATCAATCAGTCCATTAAATTACGCGCGGTCTGCGGCTGTCCGTCGACTAGCTACACTTGAACACGCGTCAAAAAGGGAGAGCAGCCGTCGCAAATTATCCATACCAGCATCGACTGCTTGAAGAGAGTGTGGGCTGTGGTTAACTTGGTATTAACAAATCCTGGTGCTCCAAAAATAGGCTTTTGCTGCCCATGTGGCGTGTTGGCAGTTATGACTCTCAGTGTTCACGTTGGCATAACATGAGTTGTTAATCATATGTTGTTGTTAAAGTGGACTTTTAATTACAAGCTTTTTGATTTCGAGTGAGGAGTCCCTGTCAGCTGATCTCCATTAGTCGTCTGTCACTATGCCGTATCTGCAGGGACTACATTTTTTCAGAAGATGCCTTCTCGATTCCTGTCCGGTGCTCATACAAAAAAATGACATAAATACTTTAGATAAGAAAATTCATATTATGCATTTATATGCATTTGATAGTGCATTTATTATGTTTTGACAACTCAAAATATAATACGTTTTGCATAGAAGGCATTGTATAATGTGATTCTGGCCATCATCAGGTCGTTTATTCTTTACGCCGCATTTAATATCTAAGTAAGAAACATTAACACACAACAGGGATCACTGAGCGTTGTTCTTATATCAGTCTGTTCTGAGCACTGCTGTGTGGGGAAAGGGGAGAAAAGAGGCCGAGTTGAGTGACCCAAATGGACGGCAACGCCCCCCGTTGCTTTGCTAATTTCACAAAATGTAGCTCCAGAGGATACTCTGGTGACATTTTGAATGATTCCTGCATTCATCCAAGGACTGACATCTGTGGGGTATTCGCTGCTTCAGACAGATCTTTGGTAACTCATAAATATAGAATTGATCCCCTACAAATGTCATTAACCTCTCGATTATATACTGGAAGGACAAATGGAAGTATAGGCTTAGATTGATAAGACATGCATAAATAAAGTCGAAGGAACATAATGTCATCAGGAGAAGAAGACGTTTCATTTCCTATAACTGAGGTAGACTTTATATTTCTCTCTGAAATGCGCGTTTTAGCTGGATCGGTTTGGCTCTTTCAGTACCTCAATGAAACCACATTCAATCGACGATATCCATATACAAAAGAAAAATATTTCATAGGATCAAACCACAACCAACAATATGAACATCAACAACAATGTCCGTTATCAACGCAGGTATCCATAAATGTTATCCTCGGAAAAAACAGTACACCGCTAGTTTACTACCTTCAACGCCCAAACCCACATTTCATTTAACACAAACAACATCAAATTACCACAAAATGACGACTTTTAAACCGGTAAGAGCACGGAAAAATCCACATTCTGACTTTAAAAATCCACGCGCGACAACATCCACAACCACTATCGTTCTCGCCTTTAAATTGACACCAGTAGAACCGCAGTTATACTTTATACTGAAATCTTTGCACCATAACACTACAAAACGTCGACACTCCAACTGCTGAACAGTGAAGCTATAGATAAAGGCCAAAACAACACAGGGCTAGTACCATCATGCGTTACCTTTTATGCCAGGCCGTAGGTTCTTGTCGTAATTTTGGGTCAACTCGTTCAGAATACGCGTGATATTCTCTCTTGCCTGCTCCTCGTGCTCACGATTGGTGTTGTACTCGTACCCACCACCATTACTGCTGCACGCACCCAAGATACTGTGTAGAAAAAAGAGTAATAAATCACAAAAAGCGCTGACAACTGCTCGTTTAAACTTTAGTAACCTTCAAAAGTCTGCGTTTAGGTAGTATGATCAAGACGTTTACCTTAAAAATTCGAACTCTAATTAGAACGTGCAATAAAAATGAAGAACGAAATAATTACACTATTCAGTTAACACAAAGAAACGCTGGTTGATGCGTTTCAAATGTTAAAATTGTCATTAACAGACATTGACAAAATGGGTTATACTTTGAAACATTTCTTTCATAACCAAATAAGGAGAGAGTTCATATTTACATTACGGCAATGATCTTGCCTAAATGTTGAATATGGCCACTGCCAATAGACACATTATTGTACAAGAAAATGGGAAGGCAGAAAATGTTTGTCTTCCATATCACTGAAACCAATGCTTTCTTTCACGGTTGATCTAATCGACCTGCTAAATACTAATGTCACTGATGCAGAAAAAATGTTATCTCATTTATTGACGGAATATTACCGCACGCTGGGCGCGATGGGCTGTAATTATGGTGTAGGTCGCCCGGTCATAATTAATTGGGCTTCCAATGGTGCCCCAGCTGCAGTGAGAATTTACGTCAGCGAGACATTTTAAACAATAATGTCTGCTTAAAGACAACCCAAGCCCATACTCTCCCGGGAGAAGGGGATGTCTTGTTATTTTTAGCTAGGCCATCTGGGACGCACAGAGCAAGATTTCTTGTTTTTAATTCGCGGATTGCTCTGTGAGGGGACTATCGAGTGTATGACCTGCATGTGCCGTCATGCAATCTATTTGAACAGCAAACATCGACCAGAAATTGGTTAAAGAGAGAGTCTGATGACAATCCTCATGTGCATACTGACACTGCAAGTCCTCAAGAAGAATTCGATTGAAATCGTGAGGGAATTCAGCAACTCCATCTAAATCCTGCTACTCTGACATTTCATCTTAAGTCTACAACTTCGAATAAAATGTACCCAACCAACTGAAAGGAATATTGCCTCTGGCTATTATTTCGAGTTCAGTAACTCTGACAACGCTGTTCACCATCATTCTACATCATAATCAGACTCCTTAAAGTAAAACAGAAATTATTGTTTTCCCATTCCATCATATTTCGAGCCCATTGGGGAAGAGAGTCGTAAGGCAGCAAACAAGTGGTGACTCTGAAGCTGCTCGATTTAATATGTCTCCGAAAAATCTGACTGACAGTGCTGATTGCATCTCTTGTCAAACCGACAAATGTTCAGAGCATCAGGAAAATTGCCAAAACCTCTTCTAGACCTCGAGAGAGAGGCCCTTAATAATTTTGATATTGATAAAAGTGAGTGGAATGCGTGTCCATAATTGATTTTGCCGTGAAAGTTTATCATCAAGTTGGTTGAGTATTTCTTTAAAGATTTTTTGTTGAATAATAATGTGTTAAATTGTTGGGCAAAATGTGGACAAATCATTGGCGCTGTAAATTATTCTTAATTCCCCAATGTCCGTAAAATACCTAACCTCCTAAACGAAAGTCTCAACGCCAAATACTACGCAGATCACTCCACAGCCGTCTGTAATGTTCTTTTTTTGGCCAAAATTGGCGACAAATTGAAGGCGCAGATTGCATTAAGAGAGCAAACACAAGCCCTCGACGACATTCTGGTGTCATGCGAGACACACCGAGATTCAAGTGTATCACGTGTAATTGGGTGATCATACCGCCACAGTGCAGCGACACCGGGGGGGGGGCGACGGGAGAAAAGACAAGAGGTACGACACCCAGTGAAACATGTTGTCTAGACGTTAATTCACGGGAGTATGCAGCACTAACCATAACGAGATAAAGATTTTATGGTGGCATTGTAATTAAAAACAGAATATTTTCACTATTACATGACTGAATTAGTATACATCTACTGGTTTTTATGGCACGAACATACGGAAAACAATTTACACGACAAACGTAAACCCATCTGGATTGTAATCAGTTTGAAAATGCAATACCCCCCACACAAACACACAAATAAAATTATTCGGTAATGAAAAGTATTTTGGATGCCTGTAAAACACTGCTGTTCATTTAATTTAACAAAGAGATTGCAGGGACAATAGAAGTAAATTTATACAACGTTCGTTTAGAAAGCTGTCGACCCTTAAGACCAATAGGAATCGGAAATTCGATTACACTACATGTACATGTTTTTGGTAATGAAGGTTGTTGATAATTAAACTTCATGCTAAAGGTTGGAACAATTTTGGGCGTCCTAAAAATCTGAAACACCTTGTGCTCAAGTTTAAACCATTCTATTCGGTTTCGCATCCGTACAATTTCATCTAGTATTTACTCATATAACAAAACTAATCTCAGCATAGGCACTTTTAAAGGGAGACTAGCTTTCGTAGGCTAGTCGAATGCATTATATGTATATGAGATAAGCAGTGGGAAAATCTGTACGCTTTAACCTGTGCTTGCCTTCCAAACAAATTATCCTTATGTCCGGCGTGATTGGTTACGCGCATACGGGTAAACGAGGTAGTCACGTACAGCAGTAATACTACCGAGCGTTGCCTGATGACATTTAAATCTATGCAGGATCATGACTGTGGTATTCACGGTCCACACAGGGAGACGTGTCCCAAGTTTATTTCTGACCGTGGATTGCTCACGTGCTGTTGTCATACCAAAACGATTGCCAAATCTATAGATCGGGGTAATACGACCAAACTGGACTAATCAGACCTCAGTGGGTAAACCGCGGTGAACCATAACTCAGCCAAACGAAACCGTTCTGAACCGAATTAAAGGAAACCGACCAAGCAAAACCAAATCAACATGACTGGACCAAACCAGGCGGCCAAATTAAGCCCGCATCAGGATCACTGAAGTGAAACCTATCAAGTCAACTGAACCTAATGGAGCTAGGTTAAGCCAAGCCTTTAACGTTTAGTGCAACTCGAGCCAGAATGCACTCTAACTCACCAGGCAGGAAAGATCTAAGCGAAAACCAAACCAAATCGTTTATGTTGCACAGAAACCAGACCAGATGCTACAAAGCAATCGAACCAACCTCAACTTTAACCTTAACCTCAGACCTTTTCGTTGTGTCAGTTGTAAACCCAGTAAGGGCTTCAAAATGGTTCTATCAATTTTCTTCCTTATATAAAACTCATGCAATCGCTGTAAACCGGTGTCATCGCCTTGAAGGGCCCAACTGGGAATTTGAGCCCAATATGGATTTCCGGCTGACTGACGTCGTCGTCCATTGAGGTTGGGGTCTTGGCGTGGGACAATTTCATTAGAGAGCCACACGCTCTGGGTTTTCACACTCGACTTATTGGGTCAAAGTATAATTTGATTAAAAAATCAAGGTTTTCACAAAAAGTCAGAACTCCGCGCGGCTGCAGGTGTGAATGTTTTCTCAAAATCCTTATTCCGGATAGAGGTATGAAGTGTGTAGTTTTTCTTTTATCTTTTAATTATACGTGACGAAATCCTGGATATGTGTTTGAGAGGATCTTAAAGACAACCATAGAATGAAACATTCAATTTAATTAAAAATAAGAAGGGAAGCGTAAACAAGCCGTGAACTATGAATCAGTATGTTTTCATAGCCAAAGAGAATGGGTGAACTACGCGACCTAATTCGAGACTGCACTTTGATGTGGTCTATTATTCGTGGACAGCGCAGACTCCATGTTGTCTAATCCCTGGATAGGAGTGACGAATAATGGGAGGTCACATTGATATCCTTTAGGCGCCACCGTAAGTATCATGGATATCAATGAAATCGTGTGGTCACTGAATACCGAAACTTGTTTATTTAGACATTGTATGATTTACCTCATACAACTTCCGTTTGTGACCTAGAAACGTAGACTCAATATCACCGTCGTTCGGTGTTGAAGCGCATTGGAAATCTAAACACAATTGCAACAGCAGAATAATTTTAAGAGTGGTAGGGGGCCTACCTAGATTTCTGATAGAAATAAATATAACAAGTGTGCACCCTTTAATGTTTTATGGTTCTTTGACCCCACGTCATACTCTGAAAGCGAGGTTGAAGAATGCCGTTCAGTCTAAACTGACTGATGGCATAATCATGGCAGACACGACACATGCCGCAAGCCACAAGTGGCACTTAATACCTAAGACTTGCCTCGTCCGTCTCACCTCCCTCATGGCGAGGTGACTCGCAGAACACGATGAAACAGAGTGTATTAAGCAGGGAGGGAGGCGGGAATTTTGTTTTGCTCTTGTCAATGGGCGTTCGGTATTTTTGCATATATCTTCTGTGCACAAATGCACTGATACAACATCAACCCAAGAATCTCAAAAACTTGAGGCATACTTGAGCTTTCTTACACCAATCTGATGAATGAAAAGACGCAAAATGAGAATAAATGGGAACACAAACACTCACGTGGAAAATCCCAGGCTTAAGATTGGTAGAAGCAGACAAATATTAACAAAGACGAGGCCTACGAACCGGGGCACGGAACACGGAAAATGAAGCAATTAAATGCGCATCGTTGTTAGCCAGCGCAGAAAGGCTACACGCTGGTTAGAGGGTTTAGAGAGTCTGCGCTGGCAGAAAACAAAATACACAAGCCATTCAGGCTACGCAATCACAACAATAGACCTCTTGCACCAGGTACGTGGTGGCCATTCCTTTCAAACAGCATGAAACCATTGAAAAAACGTGAAGCGCAATATCTCGATTCCCTCAATAGCTCCGTGGTTCGACTTAGGAGAGCGTGGTAACTAACACCTTTGAAGTGCTATGTTCCCTTTTATGGGTGGATCTCTGTATGAGGTGGCCGGAATAATGATCCTGGGGTTCCTGGGATGGTCTTTTGTTCAAAACCGGTCATGGAAAGTATGCTCATGCTCAGTCGATTGGGAATACAAATGCCTGAGCCCGGAAATGTGTGCCCCACCGTGTTCAATTCTACGTAGCCTGCCAGGGAACACTGTGCCCAAGCACGGACGTATATAAAAAAAACCTG